TAAAGGACATAAAATAAAAATGATGCAATTTTGCTGTTTGATGAGTCAACAAAAATGAGTTTTAGTTTATTGAGCTAGAGATATTAACTCGTTTGAGCTGCGATAGATATTATTTTTAGGAAAGAGAAGGAAATGCAACTTTATGAAGATGGTATATTGGCTCAAGCTTGACAGATAGAGCAGGTCCAATTATGTTTATAATGTTTTTTTGAAACTTGTCTAGAAGAGAAAGAGTATCATTAGAAGAATTAGCCCAAATATGACAATAGTATTCTAAACAGGGACCAATAAGAGATTTGTAGAGATAGAGAATGGAATCAGGACTTGCTAACAGCAGTTAGCAAGTCAGCTGTAGAACTAGTAAATAGAAGAATGTCTGACTTAATTTGGGATATTAGAAATCTGACTTTAGTTGGGATGTTAGAAATTAATTGATTGAAAATATAATAGACCTTACTAATATAGAGAAAAGACTGATTGGGTATTGGATTTCTTTGTTTGATTTGCAATCATTAGAAACTAAATTTTTATTTTGTAATTCTTTGATGAACAATATTTTTTACATGCATTTTATAAATTTTTTAAAAGCAAATGTTTTTATTTGTAAATATTTATAAAAAGTACTGTTTATTTGCATATTTTTATTATTATATATTCTTATTTATTTTATTATTATTTAGATTAGCGTATACTTATTTATTTGGTTGTAGTTAAATAATAAACTTGCTTGTTTAATTTATTAAACACATTTCATTTCTTTTAAAATAAACTTTCTTTGTTTACCTTATCTAATTGAATTTAATAAAATGTTGTAAGTTATTTTAAATTTTAATAACTATTTGACATTTTGTAAAATAAAAAATATTCAAAACAAAACTTAAAATATAGTTTTGTAGTAAAAGTTCAGCTGAATGATCCTTTTTTTAGAATGGAATTTCAGAAAAAAACTACAAAGAATAAACGAAATTAAAAAGATTTCCTATTTAATTGAAAAAATGTTTTTTTTATTAAACTTAATTAAGCATCTATCTCTTGTATAAATAGAAGTCACCTAGTTTAATTGATTCCTTAAAAACAAACAGGAAACAAATAATCATTTAAAAAAAAGGAGTTACACTGACAACTTAATGATACAAATGCACTGATAAAATCTACAACTTATTATTATATTAAGTGTCTTTTATGTTCAGCATTCCAAAGGCAATTTTATTGTTCGGGATAAAGAATTGTGCAAACTCAGTTAGTACTGGCCCAGTTATAATTTTAACTTGCAGTTGAAAATGCGGTAGTGGTAGAGTGCTTGCTTTATAAGTGAGAAGTTCCAAGTTCGATCCCTACTACATCCTCAGTAGTACCACACTCAACTTGTTTTTCCGTGCAGCGGTCTTTTTTGTCAAGGAGTTATAGAGTTGAGAGAGGGTTGTAACTATAATTAAGGTAGCCTCCTCAACTGTAGTGGCCTTCATGGCCTTGGGGAGGTGAATTAACCTTTAAAGATAAAACTTTATGGCTGATAAACTTTTTTAACACAAAAAAGCAGTCATTTTATAATTGAAAATTTAACATAATATAGCAGCCATTTTATAATTAATTTCTTTTTCCTTTACTTCAAATGCCTGTATTTAATAACTTAATAAATTTGAAAGATAAAATTCATTTATTCTTGTTGAGTGAATTTTTTTTAATAAATCTATTTAATAAAAAATTGAAAAAACTTTTTGAAAAAAACTGTTCTTAGACTTGATTTCTCATTCTGTTATTTTAAAATAAAAAATTTTAACATAATTTATTCTTATATAATCAACATAATTTATTCTTATATAATCAGTGTAATTTATTCTTAGTTTTAGTTTAGTTAATAAGATTTTAAGATAAATTGGTTTTTACACTTTAGAAAGAAAATAATGAAAAGAATAATCTTGAAGGAGACACAAATCTTTCCGACAAAGAAGAAGATTATACTAATGTGAATGAGACTAATATCCCTGAACTTGAGGAAATTGATTTTAGTTTGAGTACAACTAATATTCCCAACTTTAAAGAAATTGATACAATTAACTTACAAAATGAAAAAGCTCCTATCAAGCAAGATTTATTTGAAAATACACTTCCCTTTTCTTATAGCAAACAAATTGAAAATAAAAATGGCTTTAACGATAACGACATCAATATAAACTGTAACAATAATAGCGATGATTATGATTCAAATTACATTGCATATCCTTCCAATTGCTCTCCATCAATACCTGAAGTAAAATCGTCAAATCGTTTTTCCAGTTCCACAGAAGAAGCAGAGTTTTTTAATAACTTAGAAAAACTAGCAGGTTTTAATAACTTTGATTCATTTCACAGTTTGTCTTCTCACACAAACAATGAAACAGGAATTTTTACTTCTCCTATTAGAAATGCCAGCACAAAAAAATCGCATTTATTGTTTGTTAATGAACAAGAAGAAGTCATCCAAAATGCTGAAAATGTTTGTGACAATTATATAAAAGAGGTTTGTTTTATATTTACTTTTTCTTATTATTGTTTTCATTTGTAATAAGTAAATTTATTAATTAATATTTATTTTAGACATCCAAAAACAACCTAGATAAAAGCCAATTTAGGAGCATCTACTATCTCTGAATAAAAGTTTTATTAGCAGTCTAATTTGTAATATTGAAATTTCAAAACTTATTTTTAGAATTTAATTTTAAAAAGTTAAAAGTCAACAAAAAATGTTGGCCCCAAAAGTCACTTATTGTTTTGATAATGCTTTCTTGATATTAATTCTAGAGAAAATAAAATTGTTCAGATTTTTATATAAGAAATGCACAGTTTCAAACAATTTTTTTATTTAAATTCAATTAAAATTTAATGAAATTTGTCTGTGATTATTTTTAGTAATTCCCTGAAGTTCTAAATTAATATTAATTTTTAGTTAAAAGATAAGTTTCATATAAGTTCTGAACAACCAATAAAAAAAATCTGTGTATTTTCTATAATAAATAAAGTTATCATATTGCTAAAATTGTTAAGCATTTTAAAGATGATCTTGACTTTAAAGATGACCAATTACCATTGTTGCTTTCAATTAGGAAAATGTGTGAATACAAAGAAAGTCCTGTGTTTAAACTTTACAACTTTGACTCAATCATTATCTAGTCTTTAATACTTTTTCTTCTAATCTGCAGTTAATTGATCTCTAATATTGACAAAACTAAAGGAAACAAAAATTATCCACTAAGCATGGCTTATGATATAAAAGAGAATGTGTCACATAAATCAACTAAAAGTTCTGGAAGTCTTTTCATTCTTGCTTCAGGGCTTCAGCATTGTTGCTAGAAATTCTTGCTTTAAGGCTTAAGAGCCATTGTCTAAGAAATGTAGGCAAAGTCTGGAAGTGATGTCTTCAAAATGTCTTCATTTTCAGATATATTTTGTAAAAAAAAAATGAAAGTAGACCCACTGGTAAATTTTTTTTTCAAAAATTCCTATTCGTTTCAGAGATATTGGGTCCCAAAATTTGGCCCATTTTGTGAAAATATTTGCGCAAGGAGTGCAATTGCTACTTTGTGGGGCAAATTTAGCAACATGAATATGACAAACACATTTCTTTTTAAATTTTCTGCTAATCTGGGTAAATTTCTACAGTAAAAGTAAAATTTCAAATCATGGACCAAAACCACTAAATATGAAATTTTACCCTAACTTTGAGCTCTAATATTTCTTAAGGCCATTACTTGCATGTAATTTTTTTATATGTTTTTGAAAGGCACGAAGGCATACATTGATTATATGGAACAAAGTTTGTGAGCATGCAAGGACCTGGGAAGGAGTAACCTGCCAAAAATCACTTTTTGCATTTAACGCGCCTTGAGAAATTACCCATAACAACCGTGGCCTTAGGTTTGCCATAAATAGTATAAGTTATTTAATTTCCTTAAACATGCATCTTCCAATATCTAAAAAGAAATCCATGTGCTCCGATGATTAAAGGCCTACAGAAGTCCTAGAAGTAGCCTTATTTTGCCAAGTTTTTATCAAAAAAATGCCCTAGCAATGGTATAGATATGCTTAGCAACAGCTACTTCATAGCTTTAATAATTAGTACTGTAATTAAAAATTTTGGTGTAATATATTTTTATAACGAAACTGTACATGAGCACTTGACAAAAATTACATTGTAAGCATTTTTAATGTAGCAAAGTACTTAACAAAGATTGAAGTGATGCAATGGCAACAGACTTGTTAAATGTTAATTTGTACTCCTTAATGTTTTTTCTTATGTAACGCAGTAAAAACTTCTAAATGTCATGATTGATATCTTATGTCAAATTTTAATCTGAGTTCTAATTTTAAAACACTCTTTTTTTTAACAGGTGCGGGTTTTAGGGGGGGGGGTGCTACAGGGGTAGTAGACCCCAGCCCTCCACCACCACTACCTCCCACCCCTTGGGACTTTTTTCAGAAATATTCTTTTGTAAATGTACTATTTAACAGACTATTATGCTGACAAATGAAATTGACTATTATACGTAATTATATGCATATGAATTTGATTACTACACTAAAGTACAAAAAATTAAAAAAGAATTTTTTTGTACTTTAGTGTAGTAATCAAATTTTTTTTTTTTTTAATCTTTTTAGCCCCCTCCTTGGCGAGTGACAAAACTCGCCCCTGTTTTCTAAATATCTTGTTGTATGAAGTTTCGTTTTACATTCGTTTTGAAATAGCATTCGACAGCTAAATTTTACATTGAAATTTTATAAGTACTCACTGAGAAATAATGATTAGCTAAATATACCATTTTGTAGATCAAAGTTTAATAAATATTTTAAAAATCTGTTTTTAAAAATAAATTAAAAGATTTTATTCATGCTATGGATAACATTTTAAGTTACTATTATTTTGAAATAAACTTTGATTTATGAGATTTATGTTAATAGATTTGTATTCTTTGATGTATAACAGAATTTTAAGAAGAAATTTTAAAAATTTAAAATGCAGCTTGAGAATATATTATTATGCTGAAGCAATTGCACCTGTTCAATCAGAGGCACTAATTTCTCAAGTGTTACACAATGAGGATTAAGATGCTTTAGCTAAACTGGTTCCAGAAGACCTTGTTGTACCAGTTAAGATGTTTCAAGAAAGTGATTCTATAGGACATATTCTTTTGCTTTCAGTTATTAATCATGACAATTACACTAAAGAAACATTAATGAAAATCTTTGATTTCATAAAACTTCAAATAGAAAAAGCACGCAAGTTACAAAAAGAAAGCAGAGGATTTTCCATACCAAAAAAGGAAAAGGTCAACATATCCCAAATTCCACAGGAAAAAATAGAACATTTTTTGGAACTTATGTTTTGTCAAGGTTTGCTGTAAAAAGTAGCTTATGGTGTAAATAAAATAAAGTTTGACGATGGAGAAGAACAAAAAGTGGCTAATATCATTTTAATGATGAAGTTTAGCCATACAATCACATTTTATATAGAAATTTGCCAAGAAACTAATTATCTCTCTATGTCAGATACTTTTTTACAGAGAATTCTTCGTGGAATAAAACCTTCTCAAAGAAAATGTTTGGCTGGTCTTGATGGTGTCATGGCAGCTGGCATGGATGGGTTTCAAACTTTGATTGCTGTTTCTGAAAATTGGAAGTATAAAAATATTATTAAGTTCCTTAAAAAGGATATCTGAAGAGTAATTATCCTTCCAAACATAGTAAAAATTCCACTTTACATAGTCACTCTATTTCTTTTGCTCTTTTAGATATAGATCCAGACTTAAAACAACCTTAAATTATAGCTGCTGATGATGAACAATACATTAATTGTGTTAACCTCATTTTAGCAATCAACCAGGTTCGTGGTTGGTTGCTGAAATGAGGTTAGCACAGTCCAGATAAATGGTCAATTAGGAAAAAAAGTATTTTTTACTGCTGTCTATAGATGGCAGCAAAGCTTTGTTGATGTACTCTGTCTTGCTGATATTGTTTTGGCCAAAGTTAGAAATGATTTTCTTTGTTTAAAAAACCAATATGCTATGTCAGATAACGCATTATCTCATCATGCCAGCCTCTACTTAGAAGCCATTTACAAAGTTTACAAAGCAAAGCAATTCTCTCTTAAAAGGTATGATTACAATAAGCCATCACTTGGAAAAGATCAATGTGACAGAAAGTCAGCAGGAGCGAAATGTGTCATAAGGAGTTTTGTTGATGCTGGAAAAAATTTTGACTGGAGAAGATATTTATGAGGCTCTTCATAATGGCAAACAAATTCAAAATGCTTATGTTGCTGAAGTTCCAATAGACTCCAAAGCTTCTACTTTATTAGGACCAAATCTGATTTCCAACATAAACAGTTATCATTCTTTTCAGTTTTTCTCTGATCATATGGCAATGTGGAGATACATTCAAATTGGTAAAGGTAAAAAATAGAACTATACTAATGTGACATTCCATTTTTTGGTTCAAATTGTTAAGTCCTATAGTTCAAATTGCAAAGGTTATACTGCACCATCAATTTCCAAAAAAGCAAGTTCACCACCAGCTGAGGACAATGTTAAAGCCAAGTGAATATGTGACAACTCAACAAACTCGATCATTATTCATTTTTGTATATTGAGATCTATTGCATTGAAATACAAAATTATTGGTTTATTAACCATATTAATTAATTTTAAGGAATATTTAGGAAGCAGCAATGAATAGACTTTACTTTGTCTTTACCTCAAATATTAGGTCAATGATGATGACATATATGTTTCTTTTATGGAATATTCTGCTGTACCTGGAAAGAACTACTTCAAGTGGCCAACTAAAGAAAATATCCTCCAATATTCATCTCTTGGCGTTGTTAGAGGATTGACCATTAATAAAATTCTTAAAATTTTTTGTTTGTTTATAATTCTTAGAAAACTGTATTTCCCATCAATTTTAAATGGAAAAAACGTTGATTTAAAGTTTGTTGGTTCTTTCTTTCATTGAAATTTAAGTTAAAAAACTAGATTTTATCAAGTGAAGTTTTAACATTTAGAAGTTTTTACTGCATTACATAAGAAAAAACATTAAGGAGTACAAATTAACATTTAACAAGTCTGTTGCCATTGCATCACTTCAACCTTTGTTAAGTATTTTGCTACATTAAAAATGCTTACAATGCAATTTTTGTCAAGAGCTCTTTTACAGTTTTGTTATAAAAATGTATTACACCAAAATTTTTAATTACAGTACTAATTATTAAAGCTATGAAGTAGCTGTTGCTAAGCATATCTATACCGTTGCTAGGGTATTTTTTTGATAAAAACTTGGCAAAATAAGGCTATTTCTAGGACTTTTGTAGGCCTTTAATCATCCGAGCACATGGATTTCTTTTCAGATATTGGAAGATGCATGTTTAAGGAAATTAAATAACTTATACTATTTATGGCAAACCTAAGGCCACGGTTATTATGGGTAATTTCTCAAGGCGCGTTAAATGCAAAAAGTGATTTTTGGCAGATT